CCAGTTACGAAACCTTAATCCGACATCTTGAAGTGATCGACTGGAGTTTTCTAACCGAGGATGCACCCGATATTGCCTGGGAACGTTTCGTCAGTAGGTTTCACACCCTGGTTAGTGGATCATCGGAAACCAAGTCTATCAGTTCGAGAAACATGACGTCGTTTATACGGAGTAGGACACGCAAACGCATGGTGATGCGCAACGCGGCGTGGTATACCCACAAAACCGATCCGAGTCCGAGTACCTGGAAGGCATATGTTGTCCACCGTAACCACTGTACCCAATTAGTGCGCGAGGACAAAGTAGTTTATCAACATGCTTTAGCTCAGCGATGAACTCCAAATCCTAAGCTTCTGTACAAGCACGTGAACAGCCTACGCAAGGTGAAAAGTGGATTTCTTCCTCTTCACACAGCGGATGGTCTACCTCGGACTGTTAAATAAGCGTCGAATGTTCTGCAACAACAATATGCACCAACGTTTCATTGCATCCCGTGGTCTCCTGAATCTTTGGAATCTATGGTGCCCACACCAGGACTCACTCATGTAACTTTTACCGCAGACATGGTGATGAGAAAATGGCTATCTATGCGCCTGCACGCCTGTCCAGGAATTGACGACATCCGCCCAAAGACGCTTGCTGTGGCGGCTACTATTTTGGCTGAACCTTTGGCGCGGTTGTTCCAGCACTGCCTTGACGAGCGGCACTTTCTTGCAATGTGGAAACACGGAATAATAGCTCCCATTTACAAAGGGGGTAGTCGTTCCGACTCAGCTAATTATCGACCAGTGACTCTACTGCCAGTTCTTTCAAAAGTTAAGGAGGCTATCATTGCTGACGCACTCATGTGTTATCTGGACGGCTTTGGTTACATTACTCAGCAGCAACACGGCTTCCGCCAGAATCGGTCGTGCACAATCAATCTATTGTTAGTACGAGATGGCTGGACCGAAACTGTGGATGCTGGTGCAGGAGTTGATGTGGCTTACCTTGATTTCTCTAAGGAATTCGATCGGCTGGACCATCGTATCCTTCTCGTCAAACTTCAAGGATGTGGCATTAGGGACCCTCTCCTCGGGTCGATCTGCAATTTTCTCTCGCACAGGCGTCTGGAGGTTAGAGTACGTGAATCCAGGTCAGACCCAATTCACGTCGAATGCGGAGTGCCACAGGGTTCGGTAGTGGGGCCCCTCTATACTTGGTCTTCATAGACGATCTAGTGTGTCAAATTGCTTCAAACTATTTACTCTGCGCAAATGACCACAGAGTTTGGCGATTGATCAGAGCTCCAGAAGACCGTATACAGCTTCAAATCGACCTTGACAAGATTTAGGGATGCTCGGTCCAAAATCGCCTTTTCTTCAATTTGGCTAAATGTCGATTGCTCCATTTAAGACACCGAATGGTTTGCGCATATAAGCTGGGGGACCAAGATCTGCAACACTGTTCTCTCGAAAAGGATCTCGGTGTGTTAGTCCAGGAAGATCTTGGCTGCTCGGAGCAGTCCAAAAAAGCATCAATGAATGGGTTTTGACGGAGAGCTTTCGAGCAATTCGAACCGTCAATTTTCTGCCAAATACTTCCCGCTTATACACGCCCACATGTTGAATATGCGATCCAAGCATGGCACCCATGGCTAAAACGGGATCTCACGATCTTGGATCTTCCATAACTTCGGGCGACCAAAAATGTCAAGGGGCTGCGCCACCTGTCATACGAACAGTGCCTCAGAGTACTTGGCATTTTCAGTGGACGTTATCGCCGTTTGCGTAGTGACTTAATCATGATTTACCGAATATTAAACAACGCGCATCACCCCTGCCATCACCTATTGAAGCTGAGTCACAACAGCCAACTGAGAGGTCATCATCTCAAATCGGCAGAACAATACAGTCGGTTGGTGTGTCGAAGAAACTTCTTCTCGCTGCGCGTTTGCCACACGTGAAATATCCTCTGAAGCCGTTAATTCAGCTCCCACCTTAGCCGTGTTCAAAGCACGTGTCGACAGTGTACTGGCCACACTATAGCATATCAGTAATCCAAACGACCGATCCAAACACAGAAAAACAAAAGCAAACCAACCCACCTTCGCTTTTGTCCGGAAACCGCAGACGATAACCATGGATAGTACATAAAACGGACGGGAACGCTGTAATCGGCAAGTTCGCAATTTGCAGTTGTTCACTAATTCCTAGTGCCATTGTTGCCTTTATTTTGCTCGCTCCTAACCGATCATCCAGCGGGACATGTCACGCTTCGGCTTTTTTTATCCGTAATATACCATTCTAATTAGTTTTAAACGGATGCAGACAATACATGATATTGTGTAATAGATTGCATCCGTTTTGGGCTCTGCTTCGGGATATTCGGCGCAGCAAATGTAATCGAACAGCAACGTTACGTGTTTTTTCATTCACAGAGCTGCGCACATTTAGCCCATCAGCCATGAGCTCCTCGCTGATGAGCAGTTGGTCTAACATCGATGGTTTATTCGCTGTTCTGATCCTGGCTAGGGCGTTGAGATGATTGTACAAGGATGTATTAGTGATCGTCTCTTGAAGGTAGAACTTTTAGCTGTTCACTCTGTTACTCTAGTTTTCAGAGCATGGATGTTGAAATCATCTGTAATGAGGATATGGGTGTGTTTCTGACTTATCACAATACCAAGTGCATATATTAGTCTGTGGTCCATTTCCACTGAACTTCAGTAGAATAGGATCTCGGCCGCCATGCACGACGCAGGAGCATCTGTTTGTGGCACTATCAATCGTCACCGCACCAGTCACTGGATATCCGAGAGGTCCGTGAACCTGTTGGAAACTAGAAGACACCTCCCGGCTGGTTCTGAACACAATTTGACCAGACGGGCTATTAGGCGTGAACTAAAGCGGAGCCTACGTGCTGACAAGGAAGCCTGGTGGACCAGTCGGGCTCAAGAAATGGAGGATGCAGGAGCAGTGGCGCAATTACCGCAAGCTCTTCCAGCTAATCCGCACCATTGGTCCCAAAAAACCAGGCGTCAGTGAGACAATCAGAGACAGCGCGGGTGCACTGATACACAATAAGGAGCGCCGTATAGCTCGTTGGGCGGAACACTTTCAAGATCAGTTCAGCTGGCCACCTGCTCTCGGACCTCTTCCTACTCAGGTGATGCAGGACGAGCCATGGAAGATTAGTTTAGAGCCTCCATCGGAGGCCGAGGTCCGAAACGCGATCACAGCCTTCAATCGTTTTCGTGCCGCTGGCCCGGATTCCCTCCCACCTGCACTATTTAAGGATGGAGGTGAGGTCCTCTGCAAAGCACTGACCTCCCTATTCGAACGTATCTGGAACGAAGAGAGTGTGTCGGCTAATTGGAGCGAATCGATTATAGTGGCAATATACGAGAAGGGCAGTCGCACAGACTGTTCTAACCACAGGGGTATTAGCCTAACGCCAGTCGTGACAAAATTACTGGCCTCCATTATCGTTCGTCGCCTCACTGCAAAACGGGAATCTCGGATTAGGGAAGAGCAGGCCTGTTTTCGCCCAGGACGTGGCTGTATAGACCATATATTTACTTTGCGGCAGGTGTTAGAGCAGCGCCACACATACCGAGGACCGACAATAGCTGTGTTCCTCGATTTCAAGAGTGCGTTCGATTCAGTCGATCAATCGATTCTGTTCGAATTACTTGCGCGAAAAGGTGTTCCCACGAAATATGTGAACATCCTTCGTGCTCTATACTCGAACACTACAGGCCGCGTCAGGGTCTATGGTGTCCTATCGGATAGCTTTTCGACTACAAGTGGCGTTCGTCAAGGTTGTCCGATTTCCCCGTTTTTGTTCAATTTCGTCGTGGATTCTATCATGCAGTGTTCCCTTGCGGAATCTCACGACGTAGGTGTTGAAGTGCTGCCTGGTGAACGGTTAGTTGATCTAGCTTATGCGGATGATATCGTCTTGCTTTTCGACAATGTTGAGGCGGCACAATCAACCCTGAATGGTCTGTCCCGAGTGGTCCCATTAGTTGGTATGCACTTCGCACCTTCAAAGTGCAAAGTGTTGCTGCAGGACCACCAGCCACTTGACGCTAACGAGGAACTCGAGGTGGTTGATCATTTCACTTATCTTGGCAGCTGCATCAGCAATGATTGACTCATAGAAACTGACGTGAGCTCACGCATTGCAAAAGCCAGAGCTGCCTTCTTGAACCTGCGTCATCTTTAGCAACAGAAGGGAGTTTCCCTTCGTCTGAAAGGCCGTGTATACAAGGCCACAGTGAGGGCCGTTCTGCTGTATGGTAGTGAAACTTGGCCCCTTCGGTCTGAAGATCTGAGGCGCCTTCAAGTCTTTGATCATCGTTGTTTGCGAAGCATTGCCGGTGTCGGATGGCACCAGCGTGTCCGCAACGATGATATGTGTAGGCGAGTACTAGGTGGTGATGCTCATGCCAGCTCCCTAGAACAACCGATAGCACTGAATAAGTTGCGTTGGCTTGGGCACGTGCTACGTATGCCTGGTCACCGCTTACCTAGGAGGGCCTTGTTCAGTCTACCAGGTGTCGGATGGCGCAAGGTTCGCGGTGGACAGAAGTTGACTTGGCAGCGGGAAATGAAGTCACTGACGACCAAACTGGATGCCGTTGGTCCGTCTCGCCTTCCGGGTTGGAGTCCACGTGACTCACCTTGTACTTGGCTCGAGACTTTACAAGACATGGCTCGCAACCTTCACCACTGGCGCGTTTGCTGCCGTCTCCTAATCGGATTGCCTGTTTAAAGTGTGTTTGGTGCTGAGTTATCTGTGGGGTACTGGCTGATTATGGCACGTGGCAGTGAAAGCCGCAATGAAGCTGTCTCGCCGATGCCACCTTATCTTTGGACGATAGCCAGCTGTTTGTGACGGAATGTTGTCTACACAAGGTGTAGGCGCCTTGACCCTGAATGTTTGCTTAGGGCATTAAGGTTTTCAGGTAAGTCCCCCTTCTCTCCCTCTTCTTATTCTTTATTTCATATGTCCTCATGGTTGTATGGCAGCGAAGCATCAGTTCAAATGGCAGATGTACTGCTGTTGAGGATGATGATGATGATGATGTTGATGATGATGATGATGATGATGATGATGATGATGATGATGATGATGATGATGATGATGATGATGATGATGATGATGATGATGATGATGATGATGATGATGATGATGATGATGATGATGATGATGATGATGATGATGATGATGATGATGATGATGATGATGATGATGATGATGATGATGATGATGATGATGATGATGATGATGATGATGATGATGATGATGATGATGATGATGATGATGATGATGATGATGATGATGATGATGATGATGATGATGATGATGATGATGATGATGATGATGATGATGATGATGATGATGATGATGATGATGATGATGATGATGATGATGATGATGATGATGATGATGATGATGATGATGATGATGATGATGATGATGATGATGATGATGATGATGATGATGATGATGATGATGATGATGATGATGATGATGATGATGATGATGATGATGATGATGATGATGATGATGATGATGATGATGATGATGATGATGATGATGATGATGATGATGATGATGATGATGATGATGATGATGATGATGATGATGATGATGATGATGATGATGATGATGATGATGATGATGATGATGATGATGATGATGATGATGATGATGATGATGATGATGATGATGATGATGATGATGATGATGATGATGATGATGATGATGATGATGATGATGATGATGATGATGATGATGATGATGATGATGATGATGATGATGATGATGATGATGATGATGATGATGATGATGATGATGATGATGATGATGATGATGATGATGATGATGATGATGATGATGATGATGATGATGATGATGATGATGATGATGATGATGATGATGATGATGATGATGATGATGATGATGATGATGATGTTGATGATGATGATGATGATGATGATGATGATGATGATGATGATGATGATGATGATGATGATGATGATGATGATGATGATGATGATGTGATGATGATGATGATGATGATTATGATGATGATGATGATGATGATGATGATGATGATGATGATGATGATGATGATGATGTTGATGATGATGATGGTTGATGGATGGTTGATGGTGTTGATGATGGTTGAGGTTGTTGATGTGTGTTGTGTTGAGTGATGTTGTTGTTGATGTGGTGTGAGGTTGTGTGGTTGTTGGTGTGTGGTTGAGTTGGTGTGGTTTGTGTGGTGTGGTGTTGATGTGTGTTGTGGTGGTTGGTTGTGGTGGTTGTTGGTGTGTGGTGTGTTGGTGGTTGTGTTGTGGTGTGTTGGTGGTGTGTGGTTGTTGGTGTTGTGGTGTGGTGTTGTGGTGGTTGTGTTGTGGTTGTTGTGGTGGTTGTGGTTTGGTGTGTGGTGTTGGTTGTGTTGTGTGTGGTGGTTGTGGTGGTGTGTGTTGGTGTGGTGTGGTTGTGTGGTGTTGTGTTGTGGTGGTGGTGTTGTTGGTGGTGTGGTGTGTGGTGGTGGTTGTTGGTGTGTGGTGGTTGGTGGTGGTGGTGGTTGTGTGTTGGTTGTGGGTGTTGGTGGTGTTGTGGTTGTGGTGGGTGTGTTGGTGGTTGTGGTGTGGGTGGTGGTTGTGGTGTGGTGGTGTGTTTGGTTGTGGTGGTGGTGGTTGTGGTGGTGTGTGTTGTGGTGTTGGTGTGTGGGTGGTTGTTGTGGTGTTGTGGTGGTGTTGTGGTGGTGTGGGTGGTGTGTTGGTGTTGTGGTGTGGGTGGTGGTGGGGTTGTTGGTTGTGTGGTGGTGGTGGTGGTGTTGTGGTGTGTTGGTGGGGTGGTGTGGTGGGTGTGGTGGTGTGGGTGGTGTGTTGGTGGTGTGTGTGGTGTGGTTGTGGTGGTGTTGGTGGTGTTGTGGTGTGGTGGTGTGGTTGTGGTGGTGTTGGTGTGGTGGTTGTGTGGTGTGTTGTGGTGGGTGTGGTGGTGGGTGTTGTGTGGGTGGTTGGTGGGGTGTGGTTGTGTGTGGTTGTGGTGGTGTGTTGGTTGTGGTGGTGTGTGGTGGGTGTTGTGGTGGTGGTGTTGGTGGGTGTGGTGGTGTTGTGGTGTGGTGTGTTGTGTGGTTGGGTGTGTTGTGGGTGGTGTGGTGGTTGTGGGTTGTGTGGGTGGTGGGGTGTGGTGGTTGTGTGGGTGTTGGTGTGGTGGTGTTGTGGGTGGTGGGTGGTTGTGGGGTGTGGTGGTGTTGTGGTTTGTGGTGTGGGGGTGGTGGGTTGTGGTGTGGTTGGGTGTTGTGGTGTGGGTGGTGTTGTGTTTGTGGGTGGTGGGTGGTTGTGGTGTTGTGGTGTGGTGGGTGTGGGGTGTTGGTGTGGGTTGTGGTTGTGGGGTGTTGTGTGGGGTGGTTGGTGGGTGGTGTGGTGGGTTTGTGGGGTGTGTGGGTGTGGTTGTGGTGGTGGGGTGTTGTGGGTTGTGGTGGGTGGTGTGGTGTTGTGGTGGTGTGGTGGTTGTGGGGTGTGGTGTGTGGGTGGTGTGGTGTGGTTTGTTGTGTGTGTGGTTGTGGTGTGGTGTGTTGTGGTTGTGTGTGTTGGTGGGTGTTGGTTGTGTGTTTGTTGGTTGGTGTTGGTGTTGTTGTTGTGGTTGTGGTGTGTTGTTGTGTGGTTGTGTTGTTGTGGTGTGTGTTGGGTGTGTGTGTTGTGTGTGGTGTTGTTGTGTGTTTGTGTGTTGTGTGTGTTGTGGTGTTTGTTGTTGGTTGTGTTGGTGTTGTTTGTGTGTTGTGTGGTGTGTGTTTGGTGTGTGTGTTTGTGTTGGGTGTTGTTTGTGTTTGTGTGTGTGTTGTGTGTGTTAGATATGAGGGGTGATGATGAGATTATTATTATTATGTTGTATTTGTGTGTGTATATATTATGTGTGATGATGATGATGATATGATGATGATTATGATGAATGATTATGATGATTATGATGATGATGATGATGATTATGATGATATGATGATGATGATGATGATTATGATGATATATTATGATGATGATATATGATGATGATTATGATATATGATGATGATGATTATGATATATGATGATGATGATATAT